TTTCCTTAGAATTTCTTTTCATATAACTTGGAAACTTTTCCCTAGTTTAAAAAAAAAAAAAAATTAGTATAGAGCTACAATTGGATGAAGAAGATATTGTACAGTAGGGGCTTTAATGGTATCTTTTAGCTCTCAAAGTCTTAACTTCTTACTGTCAGAATTTTCCCTTGCTGTCATTTTGATCCAATTTCTCAGGGCATTTTAGAAATACCTCTGAAATTTCCCAAAATGAGTTCCCTTGTGTCTGACGTGAGTTCATTTAAAGGGATGACATCTGCATGACGTCATAAGCCGGAGTTTTTTTATACTCGGCGCCTTCAACGTGTGTCTGTAAGAGTGGGGTACGTAGTGGATAAACATATCATGTAACTAAGTGTAAGCTTGGATCAGTGTTTCTCAAACCTTTCAACGTGTGTCTGTAAGAGTGGGGTACTTAGTGGATAAAAATATCATGTAACTAAGTGTAGGCTTGGATCAGTGTTTCTCAAACCTTTCAACATGTATCTGTAAGAGTGGGGTACTTAGTGGATAAACATATCATGTAACTAAGTGTAGGCTTGGATCAGTGTTTCTCAAACCTTTCAACATGTGTCTTTAAGAGTGGGGTACGTAGTGGATAAACATATCATGTAACTAAGTGTAGGCTTGGATCAGTGTTTCTCAAACCTTTCAACGTGTCTGTAAGAGTGGGGTACGAATGGATAAACATATCATGTAACTAAGTTTAGGCTTGGATCAGTGTTTCTCAAACCTTTCAACGTGTCTCTGTAAGAGTGGGGTACGTAGTGGATAAACATATCATGTAACTAAGTGTAGGCTTGGATCAGTGTTTCTCAAACCTTTCAACGTGTCTGTAAGAGTGGGGTACGAATGGATAAACATATCATGTAACTAAGTTTAGGCTTGGATCAGTGTTTCTCAAACCTTTCAACGTGTCTCTGTAAGAGTGGGGTACGTAGTGGATAAACATATCATGTAACTAAGTGTAGGCTTGGATCAGTGTTTCTCAAACCTTTCAACGTGTCTCTGTAAGAGTGGGGTACTTAGTGGATAAACATATCATGTAACAAAGTTTAGGCTTGGATCAATGTTTCTCAAATCCTTTTTGTCCCCCATTAACCTGAGCAGCTGGTTTAAACCAGGTTTATTTATAATTTATCAATACGATCTTGAATAGGTGCCCCAATTCAGACTTTCCCCGGGCACTTTCATTTCATGGCACGGTCCGAGTCTTCAATGTGTTCCATCCTCTAGACTGGGTACTTCTAAAATCTAAGAAAGACCCCAGATGACCTAAGTCTCTGTTAGCTCCATTGAAGCAAAATGCTACATTTGGCTAGATCAACGCGGGGAGTGGGGATAGTCAGCCAGCATCATTAAAGTTGCTACCATCTAAAAGAGATTTAGAATGTTTTTTGTAAGTCAGCTAAGGACTATTTATTTATTTATTTAGGCATTTTTATATAGCGCTTACCTTAAAGCTCTAAGCGCTTTACAATTATTAAAAACATGTAAACTAAGTAAAATAAAAATGAGACACTAGGATAGTAACTACTATACTATAGAAACAATTAAAATGGCTATAAAACGAGGACACTTTGACACGTTTTGGCCTATACTACAGGATCAACCAGAGACAGAAAATGAGGCAGGGTAATGAGGGTGCATCACAGGTCATAGGCGGACCTAAACAGATTGGGGAGGGGGATAGTCAGCCAGCATCATTAAAGTTGCTACCATCTAAAAGAGATTTAGAATGTGTTTTGTAAGTCAGCTAAGGACTATTTGGGGAGGGGGATAGTCAACCAGCATTATTAAAGTTGCTACCATCTAAAAGAGATTTAGAATGTGTTTTGTAAGTCAGCTAAGGACTATTGGGGAGGGGGTTTGCTGCAATGCACAAACCTGCTATTTGGCCCTGATATTTTGGCAAGTGACAACAACTCTGTAAAACAATGCCCCGTGTATTAGATGTGTGCTTATGTGTTTGTTGTGTGTTAATCTTGCCCTATACATTAATGATGCCATTATCACCATGAGTTCTTTCTGTACAAGTACTGTGTGACTCACCTATCATATACTGTGACACCCCCCCCCCCCCCCCCCCCCCCCACCTAACAGTGCTGGAACAAGATAGAGCTTGGCTTAATCAGAACAGAACCACCAATTTTAATTCTTTGTTTCCAGTTTTAAGAAAGATATGAATTTTTAAAAACTTTGGAACCTTGTCAAATTTTAAGTGAAGTTTTGACACACACTAATCTTCTAAAATATCTAAGTTGGAACTTTCAAATCTCTTGCATACACAGCCAGTTATACATAAAACAAACTTACATTTTTATCATGGTTGTCACAAAGATATAAATGAAAAATATATTGATAAAAAAATGAACAGAAGCACAATTTGACAAAATATGAAAAGGGAGACAAAAAGTCAATTTTTGTTCATTTTCAAAAAAATCATAAGAATTTTAACTAAATTTGAAAAATAATTTTTAGATTATGATAAAGGAAATTTTAAATTTTATTTTTGTGGCATCAACTGGCAGAGTTAAAATTAAATTTATAATTAACTAGAATTATCTCGGCTAATCATGGTCACAAAAAATTAGAATTTTAGAGAATTATTTTTAAAAATCACCGAAAATTAACCAAGTAAGATATCAAAATAAACGTTTCACCATATTATAGAAACTGATCATGTTTTTAATTTGAAATAAACAGACTCAGGTTAAAATTTACAAAAATGCTAAAGAAATAAATTTATAAAGAAGTGTTTTTAAAACCTAAAATTGAGCATTTCCAACATAATTAATTTGTTTTTATATAATTGGTTTAGAAAGCTGCAATTCAGTACTGGTAGTGAAAATGACATCTGTGAGTTATAGCTACAACAAATAATGCTTTTGATTAAACTGGCACAAGTAGACTTCAACCTTACATACAGAAGTAAGATTGTTCAAGTGTAACAACTGACTGCACTCAACAATAGCCACCAATCCAAGCCCAAACATGAGACCATATTATACTAAGCTGAAAACCTTTTGTAACCACTTCAGCTTACTTAAACAATTATTTAGAGCAAGTTTGTCAAATTGGTTCTAACTGGCCGAACCCCTGCACTGTTTACATGTCCACGTTGAAGATGATAAAATAACCAACTGCAGATTAGTGACAAGCAGGCTTGTCATCTGCGAACCCGGACTGACAGACCTCACACCATGACAATTGTTAATTTCACAAGATAGATTTTGTTGCTATTTTCGTCTTCATATATTGAATCCCCTCCAATTAGGAACAAATCCTTTTCATCTGAGAAAGCAAATGTCTTTCCTGCCTTTTTAATTAGGTGACCTTTTCTTTTTTTAAAAATAAGAATGAAAATTGATTCTGAAAAAACTTATTTAACTCTTCATCTGTCATGTTAAGATGTTTTGCTAATGCAAACTGCCCCTGTGTATAGATTTTTATCATGAAGATGTGGACATCACATTTCACTGCATTCCATTCTTGCATTGGAAACCATCTCATCTGAAATAAGTTCATGAATTTATAATTCTATGTGTGCATTGGGAATTCTTGTTTCATTTGTTTGTTGTTTTTTTTTCATTGATTTTTTTTTTTTTTTTTGGTTTTTAAAATTTTTTTATCAATTTGCTTGTTTAAAAGATGCACTGAAATTAATAGGTGTTTCTAGCCAGATGTATTACTACACACAGAATTTATAATTCTATGTGTGCATTTGGAATTCTTGTTTCATTTGTTTGTTGTTTTTTTTTCATTGATTTTTTTTTTTTTTTTGGTCTTTAAAATATTATTATCAATTTGCTTGTTTAAAAGATGCACTGAAATTAATAGGTGTTTCTAGCCAGATGTATTACTACACACTGATGGTTGGCGTGGCATTTTCTAGTTAATGTTATGATCTAGTGAGCTGGTGGTTGATGGGACAGGAAGACAGGGGCAATACCATATTTGTTAGGTTGATACCAGGACCATGATATAATTCTATTTGTCAATGTCACTTTTTTTATGGCCATAAAAGGTCTTAGGTAGCCATAACACCTTTTACTGCATATTTCATTTTAGCTTCAGGTTAATAAAAGGATACGTATTTGAATTGAAAGCCATTCAAATTCATAGAATCCTCAACCTTTATTTTAAAGACTTTGTATGATTTAGATTTTAGATGTATATGATGGTATATTGGGTTTCTCTATTATACCATTGTGTCCTGTAGGGTAGGGGGGTCCCTGCTTAAAAATCTAGAAACCTTAGCTGTGAGAGACGTAATATGCAGTTTACTACAACTAATACACTCTACAGCTAACACCCCTAAGCACTAATAAATTCCTGGCATGTTATCCTAATATTGACATCAAGCCTATTGTTTGCCGGCTCCCCTTGCCCTTTACTTGACTTGGCCTAAAGTCCCTGTGCTTTACTTTTTGAAAAGTTCTAGCACTCAATCTTGCCTTTCTGTATTCAAACTAATAGGATCACCAATGAGTGCTCCATTACATAACCGCTCCAGTTTTGGGATGTAGCAACTCATCAGCCCAGTGGGTTCTTGCATTTTTATTTAAAGAGTCTCTGTGATTAAGGCAACCATTGTCCCTTTCTTTCTCTTGCTATTTTCACTTATCCTACCTCAGGCCAACTGTTACCTGTGTGTGTTTTACTCTATTGATTTATTTATCACACTAAAAACCGTATTTTCCAGCGTATTAGACGACTTTTTAACCCATGAAAATCTTTTCAAAAGTCGGGGGTTGTCTTATACGCCGGGGGTCGTCTTATGAGCTGGTGTACAGCCAAACCCTAGATTTTAAAAGGAAAAGTAGGGGGTCCGTCTTATACGCCCAGTCGTCTTATACGCCGGAAAATACGGTATATGATGTTGATGATACCATCGGACTCTCTCCTGTACCATAATCATTGTTCCTATGGGATGTAATGTACTTTTGTACTCATACTGTCTTTTTCCATCTTCAGATGACATGGCAGAGCTCCAAGCTACCATAGAAGTCTCTGTGGAGCTGAATAAATTCTACAATGTTGACCTTTTTCAAAGAGGGTGAGTTAAAGGGAATTCTAGATGTACCTGTTAGTTGCCATGGGCTTGGGGATTGAGTTGGCCATGGGCTTTGGGGATTGAGTTGCCATGGGTTTTGGGGATTGAGTTGGCCATGGGCTTTGGGGATTGAGTTGGCCATGGGCTTTGGGGATTGAGTTGGCCATGGGCTTTGGGGATTGAGTTGGCCATGGGCTTTGGGGATTGAGTTGCCATGGGCTTTGGGGATAAAGTTTTAATGAAAAGAAATTATTCAGAGTAAAGGAAGAAATTTTCTTTTAAAACTATATTATTGGGTCTGTTTTACTCAACTTACTAGAATCAAGTTTAGAAACAACGCAAGAAGTATGAATTTGGAACCAACCCAAATTGGAAAAATTAGGCAAAAATTTTGACATAACCCACAGTTGAAGGCTAAGAGGCTCTATACTGAAAATATAAGAGGCTCTGTAGTGGAAGGATAATAAACTAATGCAAGGTTAAGGGGATTTATAGTGGAAGAATGAGAGGCTCTATATTGAAAGGATAATAGTCCAATGCAAGGGTAAGGGGATCTATAGTGGAAGAATGAGAGGCTCTGTAGTGGAAGGATAATAGACTAATGCAAGGGTAAGGGGATCTATGGTGGATGGATAAGAGGTTCTATAGTGGAATAATAATTTCAAAATGTTAACATTACACAGGGGCTCCCAAGGCATTAAGTAAATGGGGAAACAATGTATTTAAGTGTTTTTTAAAACGCATCTGCAGTAGGGGGAGGGGCTTATTAGCTACCAATATAGTTTAACTAAGTTCAGTTTGATGCAATATTTAATATTATAATTGATGTAATATTTAGCAAGAAGAAGTAGCACTGCCTTATATCCTATCAATAAGACTAGCTGTTCAACAGGGCATTCAACATTCAACAGTTCCCAAATGAGGTTATCATGACAATACAAAATACACACACAAAAATGCTTTGGATAGAGCCAAACATCAATACAACAGAAATAGAAGTATACACAATACAGGTTGTCACAATAGGCAGTCCAAGGGCTAAATCTGGGCCGTCAGTAGAGATATTTTCAGCCTGTGGCAACAAGAGCAGAAAATCATTATCTGTGGTCCACAAAGACTTGGGGTGGGATGAAGCAAGCAATGTAACTGAAAACAGCTGTTTGAGGAGGGTCATCGGAACGTAGAGATTAAGGGTGTACAGAATGACAACCAAGAGGAATGCCAGCAACTGTTTTAGCATTTATTTTTTTTTTTTTGGATATGTTTGTCTGCACTAATTTTATTCATCCAGAAAGTGGAATAATAGATTAGATTTAAATGGAGTCCGTAAATGCATCCAATCCCTCTTTTGTCAAAATCCACTTGGGCATGAGACAAGAAGGAGAAGAGAAAAATTGAATTCAGGTGTGTGTGTGTGTGCGTGGGCACATTGTCTCACATGTTGCTCCAGCATCACTCCACGCAGCTGGGAATAACTTATAGAGGGGATGGCTTGTAATTTAAAGCAGCCTGACTTCATTTCTATTGATCAGTTAACATAGCCCTTGCTTAACGTCAGTCGGGTGGGCTGGTGAATAAATGCGTGTCTGGTTCAATAGCTGGGCTATTGATGTCTTGAACTGGTTCAACTGTTGCGCATGATCTGAGGTTACTTACAGGATCAGTCATGGTCTGCTTCATCAGCAGGTTTTTATGAAACAGGATGCTAGAGATTCAGTGTCAAGATAGAACATTCTGATAATCAAATTAGACTCACCAGGAGACCACATATAGTGACAGCCAATGTATTGACAGCCAATATAATGACAGCCAATATAGAGACAAAATAGTGCCTCAAGCATGACCATTGCAGCTTAATTTTCAACACAATTAAATGCATGTAAAAATGATCCCTGCCTAATCACAAACTTAAAATCGGTTATCTTTGCCCAAACAGGGTGCTTAGCAAAGGGGCTGAAGTCTTACTAGTTGATTAACAGCTGCGAGAAATAGATCTAGAATATATTTTAAATTAATAATTTAAAGATTGCATGCAGCTGTTGGTATCGATTTAGATTCCAGGCATACAGGTGGACACAATGAAAAAACTGATAGAAAATTAACCACTAGTTCTTTGTATTTCAATCGACACCAGAAAATCTCAAAAGTAACATTATCATAAAATAGTAGTATTTACAAAAATATGTCCATCTGCAGAGCTGAAGCAGATGCTCTAAATGTACGTGAAATCCTCGTCCAACATAAGGCCAAATGGGATATAAAAGTCAGCTCTGTATTTACTTTATTGGGCCACCATGTTTTGAGTTTGTTTAAATAGCTGAACCCAGTCTTTCCCAGTTCCATACATCCTACTTCTTACAAAATGTATAGCATACAATTGTTTAAAACCATTGTATATTAGGCTTTGTACCATGTTTTAGAAAGAGGCTTTCAAGTGTGGTTTTAAAGAACATACTTTATAATACAGTACAATCAACTCAGTCTGTGCATTCCTACAGATACTATCAGATACAGACAGTCTTAAAGACACCCCCCAAGTCCCCAGCTCGAGTAGAAATTAGTGACAACAAACTCAATGCTTTGAAAGGTAAGCACATTTGTCTTCATTTGGCTACAACTATAACAGTGGTTCTTAAATTTTTTGAACTTATGGACAAAGTTTGTGCTGCAATGGCAGAGTTAGGAGGGTGGGGGGGGGTGTTGTGGAGGGGATGGTCCGCAAGGGCTGCACTTTTTTCTTTATATTGAGAGGCAGCATTTTCTGCAAACTGTCGATCGACCCGCTTTGGGCAGCAACAAGCCTAGCTGCATCACTGTTCAATGACAGACCACTGCTTGATTCCCTGACAAAGTTGAACAAGTTCTAATAAGCTGCAGGCCTTTAAAATCAATAATTTTATATGACCTTAAATAATATGTAATGTCACATAACTAATTCATTGCCATCATTTAGCACAAGTGTGCAACATTCTACTGAACCCTTTGATGTCTGTTAGAATTAGTTGATATTATGTTTAAAAATAAACTATTAAAAGTAATATGGATGGAAATTTGCTTTAAACATTTAGACCCATTTCTGGCTGACCACTGAGTGATCCATAGACCATAGCTTGAGGAGCATTGATCTTATTTATTTAATTATTCATACATTTGAAGAAACTTCCACTGCTAATTAAAAGTATATAATATCAAATCTTCTTGTACAGCTTATTTGATGCAAATAATAAGATCTATAGATGTATGACCTTGCAAGGTGTAGATAATGGGTCATTTGAAACCAGTCAATTCTTTCACCAGGGAAAAGTGATTCTATCACTCAACAAAGATATTTGTTGAGCTGATCAAAACTGCTTCCAAGCTATAATATGTCTGTGGATACAGATGGCAATGATTTTGTCCTATATATCATTTATCAATGACTTGCAGGTGGTCAAGATAATACAGCTGCCGCCTTCACCCAGAGCACTGTGGGTAAAAGCCAAAAGTTTCAGATCCTGTACAGAAATGAAGAGGTGGAAGTGGGGGATCTCTTTATATACAGAATACACATGTTGGTGGAGAGTGCCAAGGTAATGGTGGGCGGGTTGGGGGGGGGGGGGGGGGGGGGGTGATGCTTTTATACAAGTATTTCTTTGTGGATATCACCACTATGGTCACTATTTCAGACCAGTTTACTCTTATGATTTTGGCGCACGATGTACAATTTGAGGTGTATGCATTATATATATTTTTATTTTTTACTATTAAGATAAAGAATTGAATGATATTGTACGATTTTAAGAGTTTGAGGGTGAACAGGTCAGCTATTTGCATTATTCTGTTTAATATACAGTTTTTCTTGAATATTTTAGCTCAGTTTTATGTTCCCTTGTCACAATGATAGGGAAAGAAAATAACAGATCCGTCTGCTTTGAAAAGTTCAGTTTCAACCGTGCTGTTGTTAATTTTGTTTCATTAGGTTTCTCTTTACAATTATTGTAAAAAAAAAATGTTACAATTTTATATATTGCAGTTAGAAAAGAATTTAGAAAATCTTGACCTGAGGCTTGAGATCCAGTTGTGGTGCAATGATGAAGATGAAGCGTAAGTGTTCGGCTGTAAAATTATCGTTAGGCAACCCTGTGGCTCAGTGGTAATATTGTCAGCCTTGCAAGCAATAGATAGCTGCTTTGAATTGTTCCATAAAGTCTGGAGTACTGAATTATCTTGCCCCACCCCCTCACCCCCCCCCCCCCCCCCCATAAGTCAAGTGCTATGCAAAAGTCTGTAAACCTACCAGTTAATGTAACAGACTGACAATAAATACAGACTGACAGAATAAATACAGACAGACAGAATACATACAGACTGAAAACTTTTATTTTTTGTTTTAAAAAAGTCAATTATTAGGAGGTTATGAATTATTTACATTTGAATTAGCACAACCTTAGAAAAAATCCATTATCTCTTTCCAAAAACAAGACTTCAATGATTTGTTTAACCATGGTTGCTGTTCTCATTTCAATCAGCCGTTATAGTAATCATTTGCAGAACATAAACAAGATTACTTCCTTTAAGGGATATACAGCAGTTAAATATACAGGTAGTTTAATAATTTGCTCATAATAAGTTTGTATTAATTACTATTACTTGTACCCCCAAAGCTCTGAGTCTGATGCTAAAATGGAAATGGCGAGCACAAGGACTTTACTGCTTCACCTGTCACCCACAAAGGGACTCCACCACTCCCTCCCTGTCCTGTTTGATTACTTCCACCTGTCAGCCATAGACGTTGTTGTACATGGTACCATCATTGCTATTCATCAGCCTTATCTTACGTAAGTGTCGGGGGATCTGGTCGACTGTCTCCTCTAAGATGATATTCTCTATTATGTTATTTCCACTGTCCATTTATGTTTGGATAAATTCACAGTGAGTCTTTTAACTCTTACACTATTGGTTTTCAAAACTTTCTCATTCAGGGTGCCTATGATTAAGTGATTAAACTCCATTTTTTAGTTTTCTTTGCAAAGAAAGAATTTTTATCTTTATTGTACTTGCAAGCTAAAACAAAACTTATAAATACTATAAAAGCAAAATTATGAGCTGAGGAGCATTCTTTGAAGGTTTTAATTGATAATAATAAAATAATAATAATAAAGTTCATTTCAAAAACACGTTTCATCCCCAAAGGCTCGAAGCGCGGTACAAAGTCAACAAAAAACAAATCTATAGTTTACCACATTTAAAACAAACGCAACACGACAAAAACTAAGTACAAGCATACAATGGCAAAGTCTTTCTAGCCATTTCAACCATAAGCAACACAGCCATTATGCATTAACTGGAAAATAATGTTGACAATCATCCCAGAAGGTGTTTGCGAAATAGATGTGTCTTTAAATCGGTTTTAAAGGACTCCAGTGTCTGGTTGTTTCTGAGATCGACAGGAAGGGCATTCCAAATTAGTGGACCAGCAAATGCGAAAGTGCGCTTTCCGTAAGTCTCAAGGCAAACACGTGGTGTCGAGAGTTTGCCACTATCGGATGAGCGGAGCTCTCTAGTGGGTACATAAGGCATCAGCAGCTCTTTCAGATAGGACGGCGCCAGGTCATGTAAGCAGCGGTAGCACAAAGTTGCGATTTTGTACTCCATGCGAGCACGCACTGGCAGCCAGTGCAGCTCTCTCAGAAGTGTTTTTGCATGGTCAAACTTGCGTTTGCGGAGAACAATGCGAGCCGCATTATTCTGCGCTATTTGAATTTTATCCAGGAGCGTAGCTGGAAGACCCACCATAAGAGCATTGCAATAGTCCATGCGTGATAGCACAAATGCAGACATCAGCCTCTTTGTTGCATCAATTGTTAGGAAGGGCCTGATGTGACTAATCCTGCGCAGCTCTAGAAAAATCGCCTTGCATAGCATGTTAATATGACTTTCATGTTAATATGATGAAGGATATCAACTGGGTTGATGCAGATGCTGGTATTTTAATGGAAAGGGTGAGATTTTTGTAATCACTAATACAATTACATTTATTTTTTTTTACTTTCATTGCCTTAATTTTTTCCAATGAGGCATAAAATAAAGGCTCTTGGGGTGTTAGTTTTGAAGTTATTGCTTGTTTTCTGCTGGCAATATTAATTTTCTTGCAGTCCAGTCCCAGAGCAAAACTCTGTAGTGAAAGAGTAACTACCAGTTACACAAATATCTTAGGCATTTAGTCAAATATTTTATTCATCTCAGAATTTGTTTATATGGTTATTTAAGAGTCATTAAATAATAATTCAAGCGTAGTTGATTGAAAAAGTTGTAATGTTATGATGTTAAATTAGGTTGTTTCTCTCTTTACAGTATGCCTAAGTCACAGAAGGGTGCCAAAGTACCAGATCAGTCAACATTGGAAGCAGTCTACTTTGGTCAAAAGCTGGCTACCCCTGTAAGTACTATTTCATGTTTTCCTAGCTTAGGATTCTCCTTTACTTTTTCATGAAAAACCCTAAATAGTGAAAAACACCTATTTCCAAGAAAGGCGCCCCCACTCTTCTCTTCTCTGTGGTGAGCCACCCTTCTCAGCACACTTGAATTCTTTCCAGTTCCTACTCTTTCTTTGTTCAGACCAGATGCCGACTATTGCATTGTTGACCTGGGGATTCCTAAAAAGTAAAACTATCATGATGTGATGTTAATTGTGCTGAACAAAGCTAAAAATGTAAAAAAAAAAATAAAAAGAAGAAGAAGAAAAGAAAAACAACCTGTGGTATTCTAAGGGTTCACGATATAGTTCTTTCATGCGAAGATGACCGAGGCTTCAACTTGAACAGTACCGGTAGCAGCTTTTACTTGAGCTGTGATTTGTTTAGGGAGGGAGAGTTGCTCAATTCTACAGTTCCTCAATTCTTCAGCCTCACTCTCTCATCCTTGCCTATTTGATCAAATGGCAAGACTGAGTCAAGACGACTGGAAATAGACCAGGATGCAGTGAATGAACGGCAGTGGGGGGTTTTTTTGTCTCACTGTGCTCTTCATGCGTTCCACGTGGCAGGAGTTGGAATTTTCATTGTGTCATACCGCCATACGGGTTAAGGATGTATCTACTACATATTTTCCAGCCCCCAAGCAATGTGAGCAGTAGCAGTTTCCGCCTCCAGCAAGCTCACCTTATGCACAAGACTATATGCAACATCCTTCTGTCTGCCCATGAAAGCTTACAAGAGAGCTTACAACTGTTTGCCTCCAAGATCCCAGGAAACAATTTCCAACTAGGTAAAAAAAAAATATTTGATCCAGACAGATAATGGCTTGTATTTTGGCAGTGTAACTTTTTACTTTGTTAACTAGATTGAATTTGATAGAATCAAGTTATTTTATTCTTAGTCCATAGAATCAAGTCATTTTATTCTTTTATCTTTAGCCCATTACCGTAGAAAATTAAAATTAGACACTTTTTTGGATGAACATATACAATGACTTTATTTGTGACTCATCGTGATGTGTTTTATTTGAAATTATCAAAATGAAGGAAGTTGGTCTGTTAAAAGTCGCGCTATAAGTACATTTGTTAAATTTTCTAGCTCGTAAAGACTGCCACACTAGGCTGGGTGAAGCAGTAATGAAAGTGCAGGTAAGATTAGTGTAAATATCATACTTTGGTTGTGTTACAATGCTAACTCAAGATTTAATATAAGAAATGAATTCCGTCATTCCTCTGCATGCGTCTCACTATTCTCACATTCCTGCACAATGCTGGTTGTAATAAATGAAGTTTGAAATTATAAAATTTAATATCTGTGATGCGGTAAACTGATGAAACCATCTGTTTTTCATTTAAATAAAATTTTTATAAAGATAAATATTTGCATAGAACAGCTTTATTTAAATAGCCCAGTTGTACCCTGTGCCTTATCCATCAGGGTGTCCTTGAGGAAGACGATCTGATTCAGACGGCCATCACTGACATCACTCAGCTGTGTGCTGAAAATGTTATACTGTGGGCACAGTTCCTGGAGATTGTTCTCAAGCAACCGCAGATACACCAGTATCTTGCCAGGGAGCACCACAACCTCAGGGTCAGTACACATTGCATTTCAAGTATATAAACAGTTTAAAAATCTGTGAAATAATAATGAAATATTTTCTTGTACTTGGGGGGGGGGGGGGGGGGGGGGAGGGGAGTGTCATGTGGATAATTGCATGTAGATAAATGCATGTAGCACTGGGAATTTGTCTTTTGTGAATCTGGGGACTCAGTAATATAACTCAGTAGTTCCTACTGGCTGGCCAAAAATTCCCTGCAAGGATTTGACGTAATCCCATTCGTAGCTTTCTAGCCCCCAAATTGTTTTAAATAATTAGTCTATTCTTCCTGTGTTTTGAAACCACCTGTATATTTAGCAGTGCTGAGTATCTATAGCTGCAGAAAGCAAAAGTATTTATGTTCTTTTTATAACTTGTTTCAGATTCGCAGATTTGCAGAAGGTTTTTTTACAATGGAACATAACAAATCTGCCTGTCTGTCATGTTATGATCCGGGGTGAGTTTTGTGAACTATACATTCAGGAAAAATTTTTACTTAGTTTTAAAGGATAGAGAAAAGTAAAGAAAAGACTGATCTAAAAATCAAGGCACATAAAAAAAGAAATGGCCTCCCGTCCAACTAATTAATTTATTTATTAAAACAACCTTTCTTTTATCCCAACTGAACATTAAAATCCTGCTTTAGTTGAAGTGGAAGAAAAATTGAACAATAGTTAAAATGTGTTGTTTCTGTCTAATGAAATGCTAGTGGTGGGCTCCCTATTTTTTAAATGTTATTTTGTATTATTTGTGCCATTTATCTAGTTGAGTCCTTCTTGTAATGTTTTCCATTCTATACTGATGGTGTTTTCTCACAGCATCCATGGCCACTCATCACTGGCCAGCCTTGTGAAGGCCTCCCCCTATTTCTGTAACCTGCCCAGCATTCCAGTAGAGTGTACAGACTTGGACGGAGACGACAACACATTGCCTATTATATTTGAGGATATATACCATGACGCCAGGGCCCCGCCACTTCGTGAGTAGCTGGATTTAGAGTGATGAAACATGGGGACATCTGAAAATATTTTAATTATGCCGGAAAAAAAATGTATTTAACAGAGTCAAAACTAGGCTTTCTTCAACTCTTGTCAGGAGACATATTTTTCCCCTGTTGTAAATATTAGTAAAATAGTTTTAGGTAAAGTTAACCAGCATCACTGTCCTATTTTTTTTTTACTACACACTGACTTGTTTGATTACCAATCTTTGTTTGTATCTCTTGCAAATTTAATATTTAACTCTAGAAATGTTTCATTGAATAAAATATCAAGCTCAGCTATGAAAAATTCTCTCGTTTCACTTGACTCACTAGATCAATGTGTTATGTTGGTTTTTTTTAGACATTTACCAAAAGTCATTTCGCCATGTGGTAGAAGGCAGCACTGCTGGATCACCAAGGCAGCGATCATCCTCAAACTCTTCATCCTCCGCTGCCAGTGACAGGGGGGGAAACTCACCCCATCTGAGAAAACGTTCATCCACCAAGAAGTTCATCAAGAACATGAAGCCTGAGGGTTTCAAAAGGCCGTCATCCTACTACTGTGGTGAAGCCGAGGCAGCCCAAGCCAAGGACACCAGTTCCAGCGCACCTGTAGGCGTCACTCTCATAGGATATAGAAAAATTCCCATACCAGATTATGTGCCATCTGCAGCAGTCCAGTTGGGGACATTTAGCCCGGATTCACCTGATGGCTTGCATGGTAGGTACTTTGTGGACTGGATTGATTTTTATCAATTAAAAAATTATTAAAAGTTATTAATTATATTTTGTCTATATCTTCCTGACACAGATGTTAGTTGTTTAATTTAAAAACAAGTTGTATTGATTACCAAAAACTGTTAATTTTTAATGTACGATTCTAAATGCTGGCACATATTCAACCTGTGCCACCACCCATCATAGCAAGGTGCCCAGAAATTTTAACTCATCAATTCCCAGACAAAGGGCAAAAAGATATAATTTACTGCGTAACATCAATCTAGGGAAATAGGTTAATTGCATTGTTAAATGTTTTCTTTTGTATCAGGGTTCCCACTAGGGCAGTGGTTCTCAACCTTCCTAATGCCGCGATCCGTTAACACAGTTCCTCATGTTGTGGCGACCCCCAACCACGAAATTATTTTCGTTGCTATTTTATAACTGCAGAGTATATGTGTTTTCCGATGGTCTTAGGCGACCCCTGAGAAAGGGTCATTCCCCCCAAAGGGGTCGTAACCCACAGGTTGAGAACCGCTGCACCAAGGGATGTTGTATGGCTTTTCAAGGAGTGTGAGGGAAAAGTTATTATGAGAACAGAGGAGCCAAGCCAAAATGAACATTTTACTTACAGTAATAAGTCTCCAATGTACATATAGGTTTTATGTTTCTCATTGTGATTCAACAAATTTAAAAAATGGAAGTCCATTGTGGTTTCACAAGCTTGAAAGGCATTGTTACTTTTGAAGGGGACGCAAGGCACGGTCAAAGGTTCATAAGGTTTAGATAAAATTGGGAAACCCTGCTGTATGAGATCTATTACATTATTTGCCAATGCTTGAACTGTGTTAATTTGTTCAAGTTAAAAGTACTTCACCCCTCATCATCATCATCGTCGTAAAGAGAGCTGCTTTAAAATTAATTATTATTGAGAGGATTGGTATGAAAAATAACAGGACATTTTGTGTTTTAACAACTAATAAAAAAACTTGGGGTTGGATGAGCTAGTAACAATTTAAAATGTTGGAAGCATGGGGAGCATCCTTGTGGCCAGTTACTAACAGAAACCAACAACATATCAGATGACCAATTTTTTTTTATTTTAACCTTGCCATTGTTGCTCTTTAATTTTAGGTGCCAACCTGGCAAGTCAGCTGGAAAAAACTTACAGCACATCTCTGTCATCAATATTCCCGACTTCCTGTATGAATCGTGGTAGCGAAGATTCTATACCAGATCTATGTGATCCTTCCTTCACCTACAGTAGTTCAGATGTGTCCAGCAACATCCCACCCCCCTCCAGTACAGCAGCCAAACAAGGCAGTTCAAATATTTCCACCCCTGAGAAGACAAGCTCGCACTTACCTGGCTCAACAGTGGTGCTGCCTGATGGGCCATCTATAACTTATCAGCATTCGACTGTTCCGTCTAGCACCGTCGGTCCCCCCACAACATCTAGTTGTGTCGTGTCCATCGCAGTTCCCCCCGTAGTTTCTTCGAGTGCTGTCCATTCTGTTCCGTCTAGCACAGTTCCCCCTGTAGCTTCTTCGAGTGCTGTCCATTCTGTTCCGTCTAGCACAGTTCCCCATGTAGCTTCTTCGAGTGCTGTCCATTCTGTTCCGTCTAGCACAGTTCCTGCTGCTGTTACCTCCAAGCCTCCCATTCCACCAACACATCGTGATTCCTCGACATCCAGCTCAGGTATAAACATCTCCAAAGCAAGTGAAAGACATTCCAGTGACACCCTACCAACACTAACCTCATCTCAGCACAAGGCACTGCCCACCTCCCAGATCAGCTCAACCGCTCAGAAAATATCACCTGCCAGAAACATAGCATCAAATAACCAAGAGCTTGACAAACTGGCCAAAGGAATCAGCCGGGCCCTTGGGGAAGACGACTCTCCATCCAAACACGTGGCCGCCATCATGTCTTCAAACGATGATGACTTCAGTGACGATGATGACAACGTAGCCAATGGGTTTGATGATGTTTTAGACACATACCGCCAAGACTTTAGGAAAGCCCAATCTTCGGTCAGCAATACCTCCACATTGACTTTAGTCTCCTCATCCACAGACCAGGGGATTCAACCAAGCTCACTGGACAAAGGTTCCTCTGTGTCAGATAGGTCCCTCGACACCCCCCACACCCCAGACTCTAAAAACAATGACAGTGCCTTAGGTAGTGAGCTCTCCTCGCAGGAAGAGGTGAGCTACTCCGTCTCTCCATCGGGGCTGATCAGACCCACTCAAAATGACAATATGAATTCGGCCGCCCTCTCATCCAGTGGGTCGGTGGTGACTGTTGGCCACGTGGCCGGCGTTGAGTCAGGCTCTTTGACCTACTCATATGTCGATTCAAGGCAAAAAGTGACTGTGATAGAGCTGCTCAAGGAGGAGTACAGAAGAGCTCTGATTGTTGGAGATGGCTCAGCTCAAGTGCCAGGTACGGTCTGCTCATATTTGGAGTCTAGATTTCTTTCAATTGTTTTCTTTAAATAGATTGTAGGACATCAGAACACTGCGAGCATGCTAAAATAGCATGGACAGAAGCGCTATAAAAGTACTGTCATCATCAATTGTTTTGTTTTTTTCTGGGTTAGCTTTATTTGCTAGGCTCACCATTTATTTATAGTTTTCCATTTTTAAAGAAAAGATTTCACTAAAAAAATGTGTCTCTTATCTAAGCTCTCTGATACATCTTATAACTAATAAATGGTCTAAAGATGAGAGTTCACACTGTGGATTTGTTACAGCCACAAATCTCCGTGATAAATCAATGTTGATAATCCACCGCTGTTTGTTGATGGTTGCAATCTCCAGAAACTCACGGATGACATAAAATACCACTTAAGTGTTCACATTTAACATGCACAACTATGGAACCTGCAGAATTTTTGTTTATATTTATTGGCCATCGCAAAAGTTATCCAGCTGCATTTGGCTCTTCACATGAATAATTGCAGCTTTTTTTCATTAAATTTGTACAAAAAAGATTGAATAAATAATCTTGTAACCAAAATGTAACTGTTATAATAACAGTGTCATATGTGTTATCATAACAGTGTCATATGTGGGTGGTGGAGAGCACGGTATATATAGGCACTAAAACTTAACTAGGGTCAAGTGAGGATATTCTCCACATTAAAATCATCAAGCACACAGGCACACGCAGAAGAGAAAAACTTTTATTTATTTTTTTAGCTTTAACTACTCCAAAAAACTCAATCTTGAAAATTATTTCACAATTTGTAATCTTCAAGCTGCAAAATATGCCCACCGGCAGGGCTACTGTCGAATACTTCTAGTAATTTGTAAACAAGCCCTGTCGGCCAATGACAGATTTATTGGTTAGTTTTCATAAAATACAAGCGAAGCATGCATTTGGATATATACATAGATTTTTTTTTTTTCTCTATTTGTAATAGAGTCAGCTAAGACCATTGACATAAATAATATTCAAGTTGCTGTTAGTAAAGAGTCGAACTTCAGTAATCAAAGGGCGTCTAGTGACTCGGACATTCTGAAAAACTGTGAAGAGGAAGAGAGGCATGCTCAAAAAGACGTGACTGATGGAATACTCAGGTATTTAAAGATCCCTTAGCCATCAAACTCTGTAGCTTAGCATGCCCTGTACAATGACATGATGACCTGCTTTTAGCAGTGTTGATGTCACTGAGTCCTGTCGCTGTGTTTCATCAACAGAACAAGTGTTGATCTCGGTGACAAGAGGAGAACAATGTTGTCATCTTCTTCATCTTATCCTGAGCTGTCGCATGCCAGCAAGCCAGACCCACCGCGATTGGTCTCGGTAGTTGGTCACAGCACAGTCAAGTAAGAGATGGATTTAATTACTAGATAATTAGTGCATGAAGCTGTACGCTTTTAAAACCAAACAACAGTGTGCGGTGCACTACTGCTAAAAACACACAAATAAACTATCACACTAATTCATTACAGATGTAAATATAATGTTGGCTGATAATTTTGTTTATAACTGAACTTGAGCTATTTTTGTTTCCATCTCATTGCCAGTTTTGTCCAGCTAAGAGAAAGTATAAAACTGCAACTGAATTTCCCTGGATACTTTTACAGGTATTTACAAATATTTTTAATCATCTTTCCTGGGCATCAGTTTTTAGTTTATTTTTGAATGAACCAAACGATGTCCTTTCTGCCATTTCCAGAAATTTGTTATAAAAAAATTTATTTGAAGGAAAATTGTTCTGAAATTGGTTTGAACATAAGTTTTTTGCCAATTAATTGTTAAATGTAGATTTATTTATTTATTTTTAAAAAGTATTTTTAGGGAAGGTCAAGGTGCAAGAATTTTGGGGAAAATGTAAAAAAAAAAAAAAATTGGGTTTGTTTTTTCCCATTATTTCATTTTGAACAAATTTCTGATCCAAGTATTTTCCTTCAAACAAATCTTTTTCGTACAAATACTCAATAAGCAAATTCTGCTATGTGATGTGGTTTGATGTATGATGGTTGTTTTTGTTGTTTTTTTAAACATGTTAAGTGCATTTAAATTGCCACCAGTCGCCTGTTTATCTGGTTTGATTCATTAATAGAATTCAGTTTTTTCATCAACTTAAAATATGTGAAGATCAAAAAACATAATAAAAGAAAATAAAAGTTTAAGTTTTTTAACATTGTTTTTTTTCTGCCTCGCAGTGAATGTCCAACACTTGCATCTTCAATACCTTACTTCCATGTGACCAATGAAGCTGACGAGTCAAGTGGGATTCACCTTATTGTATGTGTCCATGGGCTGGATGGTGAGTTAATGATGGCATGTTTCAAATGAGCTGTTTGTTTGTACATTAGTCAGTGCATTGGTCAGTGCAGTGGTCAGTCTGGAAGGGAGATAACGCAAAATGATAATTCTTGTTATGGTATGTATCTCTCCCTCTGAGGATCACCTCTCCGTCTATCATATTTTTACTATCAGGATAGTATTGAGAATGTATAAAAAAATCACAATGTAAATTTTCAAGAACTGTAAATATAGAAATGTGTTTACCTCTGGGGATCTTTACCTGTGGTCCACGTGTCAGAGGGGCAGTGAGCCGCATGTGTCAGAGGGGCAGTGAGATGCATGTGTCAGAGGGGCAGTGAGCTGCATTTCCTTTAATTTTATTTTATGCATTTTTTAAATTTTATTCTATGAATCGCTCAGAGACTTTCATCTGATTGCCTGACCGTTCGATGGAATAAATATTGGTTTATATGTTGTAATTCATTATGTATCTATGGAAGAAACGTTTTAGCAGGGGGTGGCATGGGGAATTTTTTTTGTTGTAGGTAATCTTTTCTGAATTCTAATTGCTTTTTCCCTCACCCCACTCAACCCTTGTTCAGTGAGGGGACAACCTGTGAACGAAATACTGCTGTAGTTTGAAAGGATTGCAAATTTTAACAAACGCTTCGTGAGAAATTCTGTGAATCATGTCCAATGTCGTACCACTGTGTAAGCCTCAAGAAGTTATCATGCATTGTTCTTTTGCAGGCAACAGTGCTGACCTCAGGCTAGTTAGAACTTACATTGAGATGGCACTTCCAGGATTCAGACTGGAGTTTTTGATGTCTGAGAGGAACCAGGTACACATACAATAACTCAATCTGTTTGATTACATACGGAAGTTGCTTTCGACTCCTGAAGTTATTTTTAAGTGTTTTTTTTTTGTTTTGCATCAAGTTCATATTTACTCATATTTACATTTAAATATTTTTTTAGTGTTTTCCCTCTTTCATAAAAAATAGCTGTGGCCACAAGCAGCCACCATTTCCTAGCTGTTTGACATCATAACATGTAGCTCCTACCATTTCCAAGCTGATTCACATCATATCATATAGCTCCTACCATTTCCCAGCTGTTTGACATCATAACATGTAGATCCTACCATTGCCCAGTTGTTTGACATCATAACATGTAGATCCTACCATTGCCCAGTTGTTTGACATCATAACAGGTAGATCCTACCATTGCCCAGTTGTTTGACATCATAACATTTAGATCCTACCATTGCCCAGCTGTTTGACATCATAAAATGTAGATCCTACCATTGCCCAGTTGTTTGACATCGTAACATAAATCAAAAAGTAGAATTTTAAAACTACTTGGCACCAGTCCACTGAAATATTGATATTGAATTTTACAAATTTTGAGCTGTGTGCTATTTAAATAAGATTTAAGCCTTTTTGGGAGTCTCTGTGCCAAGAGGACGGAGCCCTTGTTACAAGTTTGACACTCATATTACAAAAAAAATTATATAAAATAAACTATTTCATTTATATGTATAAAACTATGTATATTATTGTAAAAAATTGATTGAAGTAATGCAATCTTCAAGAATCAAATTGAAATCTCAACATTTAGGCAAATGAACTATCCAGATTTGCATAATTTATATGTGTAATTTTTTTTTGTTACGCTTAGAATAAACATGACTTACTTGTATCATTTGTGTGAATTTTCTTGATGAATGAAGCCTGAATAAGTCCTAAAACTTGTGTTTTGGCAAATAAGGCTTATGGAGGCCCTTCAGACACCTCTGACACATGGGTCTACTCCTTTTCCTGTCTCCTGCTATTTGAGGCATATTCATAAATAGTTAAATCAGTGTCACTGTCAGAAGTTTTGAAATTGTATGATATTACTTGCAACACAAAGAAAGTTTATGACAAAAGCTAGTAAACAATCAACAGGGGATGCCATTAAAATCCCAGGATGTGCAGGAAATGTAAGAAGCATTACTGGGCCGAGAGAGGATTAAGTTTTAGCAAAATTTGAAATGCATTTTATATTTTCAAAATGATTACTGTATGTGATGCCATATATATTAATTCAAAGATGTTATTTTTTTTACATTGAAATAAAATAATTTTAATGACATAAACATATTCCCTTTCATTTTATTTTCATCAAATGTTTTATGATTTTCATTGATGTTTAAAGTGAAGATCAGATTTCCGTTCCTAAACCTGTCTGGTAAAAAATAGCAAGTCCAAATCAAAAATCTTTTTGCTATGTTTTTTTTAATAAAATAAAAAAATTTTCCTTTTCTCTTAGCAAGACACTTTTGCAGACTTTGATAAGATGACTGAAAGACTGGTGGATGAAATTCTGTCTTATATGGAGACATTTGGCTTTGATATAACAAGAATAAGGTACGGTGCAATGAGAATTGGTTTCTGTCATTGTTTGGTAGTGGTGGTGGTGGTGGTGGTCTTTTTTTTGTTTTTTTTTGTTGTTTTTTTTACTTCGTACTTTTAAAAAATTATTCAATGTTAAAATACAGCATGAAATCAATAAAGATCTTTACTAAAACCTAATAAGCCTGATTAAAATGATTTGCTTACAAAAATAGATAATCTATTTTAATAAATACTTACTTGCCCTCATGGGACAGGTTAGTGTGATCTGTAAAGATTTTAGATTCATTTTAAGAGAGTGGCATTATTTAAGAAATTGAAGTAATTCTATAGAATTACTATAAGAATTACTATATTAGAATGGTGGTTATTGAAGAAACATATTTATTTCTCTTGTTTTATTGAATTCTCCCCCAGTTTTGTAGGTCACTCTCTGGGCAACATCATTATTCGGTCGACCCTCTCCCACCCCAAGATGGTGCACCTTCTTCCCAAACTGTACACCTTGCTGTCCCTGTCAGGCCCTCACCTGGGCACCCTGTATAACACCAGTGGCCTGGTCAACATGGGTGAGTGTCTTATGACCAGTAACTGTGTGCTTCTACTGTTTTACCCAATACTACTGTCATAATTTAGATCTTGCTGTTCCCTTGGGTTATCCAGGTGTTCCCTTGGGCCATCCAGGTGCATAGAGAGAGGCCATTTGCTGTCTAGGGAACCAAATTATAGTCCTGAAGAATAATCCCCTAGCCTTGTGATTTCGTCCTGCTAAGTCTACACCGTCGTCACATTGTGATGGACGGACGCCAGAAAATTTAGATCTGCATTTTAAGATTCTGTCAGTGGGGTAAATGAAGGGTTTAATCCACAGGTTTTAGTATCAAGTACTTTACGTGAATTAATGAAGAGCTTTGTTTGTGAAGATTATCGGTGATACAGCCTACAAATATTTCATCTATGTGTAGCCAGGTTATACTGACAACATTAATACAATTGGTCTATTGGTTGGTATATTTCCAGCTTTATGTTTTCTGTACCAGTCTAGAAGGGACCAATCTGATTTTTAATGAACTTACTTTAGGGTCAGTTTTTAAATGTAAAAAATGTTGCTTTACTCACACACTAATTATTCACCTGTTTCTAGGAATGTGGTTTATGCAGAAATGGAAGAAGTCTGGTTCTCTGCTTCAGCTGTCACTAAAGGACCAAACGGACCTAAGACAGACATTTTTATACAGACTCAGTCAGAAACCAGGTGAATAAATCTATTAAGTTTTTGCAAACGCTCAGGGGAGCAAGCTTATCATATTAATCATCATCATACTTATCAAATACAGGGGAAAGGAAATCTTCTTTAGGACTAAACACTGAAAGACATCAACTTTCATCTTCAATACATTGTGACCAATCACATTCATCAAGTGGGCATCTCAAAGTGATGACTTTAGCTTGACTACTGGTCCTTTTACTGCTATATGTTGCTACTTTCAAACAAAGTCAAATATATTAAAAACCTTGTTACCACTCTTTAGAAATTCTTTCTCCCTGACTGAAACATTTTGTTTGCCAAAATTTTCTGGTCACATTTCTTTAAAGATTGCCATAACATGACTCATTTATGTACACTCTTGTTGTTTTTGTTTTGTTTTCAGTCCTGCAGCATTTTAAGCACGTGTTGTTGGTTGGTTCTCACCAAGATCGCTATATTCCTTATCATTCTTCCAGAATTGAGATCTGCAGGGCTGCTCAGAAGGACACTAGTACGACAGGTAAATATGTGCCACTCGCTTTGACAGGAGTAGATTACTGTGATGTTGTTGTGATCAAGAATTTACTCTCAAACCCTTCTTTGCAACACAACTGTGTTTGACAAGTTTCTAATTTAATAGACAAGTGGGCATATCTCTTACAAATACATCTTTGGTATTTGAACTCTGTGCTGAATGTCAGTTTTGTTATTTGAACTCTGCGCTGAATGTCATTTTTATTATTTGAACTGTGTGCTGAATGTCAGTTTGTTTATTTGAACTCAGCTGAATGTCATGGAGTTGACATCTTTGATACAGAAATTAACTAAATGTGATCTTAAACCTGATTTAATGGAACAAGTTGACATTTTTAGCCTCGCTGGAAAAATGATTTTAAAAGTTAATTTATGACAAATAGCAAATGTTTTAAGACCCGGTGTTATATTTTTCCTTGTCTGACAGCTTATAACTTGTTAAAATTGTTGTTGTTCAACTTCTCTCTGATACTGTCCAATCAGGCGCTGTTTACAGAGAAATGGTGCAGAACATTCTGGAGCCCATCATCCAGTCTCCACACTGTACACTCATACGATACGATGTTTTCCACGCACTCCCCTCCACCGCCAACACCATGATTGGACGGGCAGCCCATATAGCTGTTCTTGACTCTGAGATTTTCATTGAGAAATTCCTCACGGTTACGGGACTCAAGTATTTCCAGTGACCTTCACCCTGCTAAAACAGTTTACTTAAAAGTTGGCAGTGCTTTCTTCAAAGTGTGGGCCAAACTGTCGGCCTCATCCATGACAGGCAATGTTGTGTTCAGCACCATTCTCCCAGAGAGAGTGGCTTAGGTTAAACTAATGAACGGATCTGGTTCAGACAATAGATCATGTGTTCAAGTTGATCAGAGGTGAGTCAGTGAATCAGTCAGTCAATGCACAAGTGATTAAAATGTTAAACGCCTCTTGATTCTATGAGACATTATCTATTCATGAAGATGCCCTATAGAACGGTATAACTTTGGCCACCAGCACAAAAAGATAAACTCTATGACAAATAGTTCAATCTCCCTCAACAAGCAAAGCGTGTGTACATTGGCATAATTTGAATACCGGTATTTCAAAAGAATGAACCAAATATTCTTGCAATAAGCATAATAATTTATTTGCAATTTCTTTTCTCTTATATACCCTAGCCTAGCCCCTTTTTTTCTGCCTAAATTCTGCAATGGTTGTCTCTTGTGTCTGTTAAAAGGTTAGTCACAGGACAGGCCTTAGCTTGTTTTTTGTTGAAATGTGTTCTAGCAACTTGTAGGAATTCTATCTCAACATTTGTAGTGTACACTTGATCAATGTCATTCAACTGGCAGCCATTATCTTTGAATTATGGTGACTGTCAATTTTGTTGAATAAAAAAAAAATTAAATGTCAATGCATTGGTCCTGTTCCCCACTCATTTATTTTATTAAGTATTTTGTTATAATTTTATACACATTTGTTGTTTCCTTTTGCAAAGTATTATTTATGAGTTTGTGTTACATCGCCTTAGATCTTGGAGTTAATATGGAATGTATTTTTATAGTTAGTTCGTTTTCTAGTTTGTTTTCAAGTTTCCAAGGGGAAATAAGGATTACAATATCTTACGTTAAGGAGGTTTCATCTTGTGTATGTTATGTTTTTTTAATATTTTATTTTTGTCTGCTCCGGGTAAACCCCAACAAACAAACACATAAACAGGTTAAAATATTGCTGTTACAGTCTGATATATGCTGTTACAGCCTGATACATTGTTACAGCCTGATACATTGTTACAGCCTGATATATTGCTGTTACAGCCTGATACATTGTTGTTACAGTCTGATATTTTCTCACCATCTCTCAGTTCACTCTACTTCCTAACCAAGGCCACAAAGTCACTGATTGATCAAGCTTGACAATAATAAAACGTTCACAAATCTCGATGCTTAGTTTTCACAATTTCTTTAGAGTTGTGAGCTTGTTTTATTTCATTTTTTTTTAAAAGATTTTCCAAAACATTTGGGAAGAATCAGTAGCTACAATATGTACATACCTGAAGCTTTCTCTTGAAATAAACATGTCTGATTGGATTGGCTTTAACTTATAATTTTTTTTTTAAACAAATACCCGTTAATCTTGTTCACTAAAAATAAACTTAATAATTTTTCCAGCCGCTTTGTTGTTTGGAAAGAGGAAGGAGAAAAAAAGGGGGGACATATATGTAAGGAATTCTTTCTTTTTTTTTTTTTTTGTTATTGTTCAGCATAGGGTGTGAGAGCTTTCAAGTGTCACTTGGTGATAAAGCGGGTCAAATCAATGGCT